CTAAGTACCTAACAGACAGTTCTCCTTTTATGTCCCATCATAAGCATAAACACAATAGGTCTTAAACTAGAAAATAATTAAGTGATATAATTCAAAATAAAATCCAACAATACATGTTGGAAAGAACATATCCAACATTCCTAAAACTTTCAGTCATCTGAAAGGAAAGTTTGAGGCTGGGGGAATCTGCTTCCAAGATGGCTTATTCACACAACTGTTGATAGAAGGCCACATTTCCTTGACACATAGGCTTCTCCATAAGGCTGCTTAAATGTCCTTATGATATGGCATCTGGCTTCCCCTATAGCTAGTTATCCAAGAGCCCAAGATGGAAGCTATAGTACCTTTTATGACCTAGCCTCAAAAGGCATGATCCATCATTTCCATAATATCCTCTTGGTTACACAGGTCAGTCCTATTCATTACTGAAGGGAACTCTACAAGGGCAAGAATAGTGGAAGGTAGGGCTCATTTGGGGGCCTCTTGGAGGCTGTCTATGACAGAGACTGATCCTTTGAAATTATTGAGGTTTTTTTAATGGCCTAACACATAGTTGGTCTTCATAAATATTCCATGTGTAGTAGACAATGTGTTAGACAGCAATATGTTACAAAAGATAACTAATACAACCTCCTTAAGTTAGCTGTAAGATGATGATAGATGATGATATATCCTAATGTCTTGCTACTCATGGACTAATGGCACCAGGATCAATGGGGAGCCTGTTAGAAAAGAAAGCCTCAATCTCCACCATAGATTTGCTGAATCAGAATCTGCACTTTAACAAGATCCCCAGATATCAGTGAATACACTTAAGTTTGAACGGCACTATCTTAGAAAAATCCTTCAGTCACTTAAAAACATAATTACTTGCTCTTAATTTTTATTCAAAACAAGAATAAGAGAGTTCTTCTACCATCTGGGAGTAGAGGAAGCCATCAGAGAACACAGTTACCAGCCTAACAAGAAAAAAACCAAATAATCCACAAAATCATAATTTTTTATGAGCTCATCTGAGAGCTAAGGCCACAAGACAACTGAAAGAAATGAATTCTAAAGTGTGACAGGGACTTGTTAGGAGAGATGGAACATATGAACTGTTTTACCTTTGGGAGAGTACAGAAAAAGTGGCAGTCATAAAATAAGGTTAAAAAAAAAAAGACTCAAATTTTAACGAATTGTTAAAAGCAGGGGCACCTGGGTGGCTCAGTCAGTTAAGCGTCTGCCTTCATCCCAGGGTCCTGGGATAGAGCCCGGAGTCAGGCTCCCTGCTCAGTGGGGAGCCTGCTTCTCCCTCTCCTTCCTGCTCGTGCTCTATCTCTGTCACTGTCTTTCACTCTCAAATAAATAAATAAAATGTTTAAACAACAACAAATTCTTAAAAGCCAAGTGTGAGCCAGCAAGATAATTTAAAATCCTTGGCATTTCCAGACAGAGGGTCTGAATCTACTAGCCAGCATTTTTCTACAGGCCTCCATCCAGTGCTCCACAGAACGACTTTAGACACAGCAGGAGACCTAAGACAGACACCCTTGGAGATGGTGATGGATGTGCAGAACATACTAAGGCTTAAGGCTGGAACAAGGATATCAGGCAAAGCTCATCCATATTCCAGGCTTTAAATGACCATAAGATGAGATCAGGTGTCATTGTGGGACAGTCACACAACCTGCGTACATGCTGGACAAAGCTCCACTATGAAGCAAAAGCTGTCTGCCACTGAAAGACACCCTCCTCACTCCAGTCCTAGGTAAAGGATGGCTACTGCTGGAGAAAAATACAACACTCAACTATCCTCACACTTTACTAACACTAAGCAATGGCCATGTGTCATTAGGTAATAGGCAGGAAATCTGCTCATGACCAGATGATACAAAGCAGAGATCTGCTGCCCCTGAGAAAGGAAATGGTAACTTACTTGTACCCAGGACCTCCCACTGATGCTAGGCAGAATTTATCTATCTTGAAGGGAATAAGCAGGAAATTGGCCTGAGCTCTGGAGCAGTGCTGTCCAATAGGACTTTCTACAATGAAAGAAATATCATATATCTGTACTGTCCAATATGCCAACCACTAGCCACATGTAGATAACTGGCTACTGATTACAGCTCTAGACTCCACTCTGAGTAGATGGAAGAGACTGTCTGCTCCATGGGAAGGTAAGGGAAGTCCTACTTTTGAGACAAAGGCATACAAAGTCTGCTTAATACTAAAACTAGAGCAGAAGAATCAAGAAACTCCTGCTCCCATCCCAAGAGCTTCATAGTAAGTAAAAAGCAATTGCTATGGGAGGGGCAAGAGCGCAGAGAGAAATATCTAACTCCCTTCCTGCCTCCAAATATATCACAAGCTGAAAGATAAAGGTAAAGCAGAAATGCTAAGAAAAATCATCTGATACTCCAGGACTCACATTAAGCACAAAGTAATAGCAGTCCATCTCTGTATGAATTTGAAGCCTGTGGTACTCAGAAGGTAATTATGACAAGCACAAAACCTAAACCCAGCCCAATTATTTCCTAGATTGACCAATACCTGTTTCATGCTAACAATCTGACAAAAGTAGAGGCATGTTTCTCTTACAAACAATGTTTGACATTTAATCCAAAATTAAGAAACACACACAAAAACAGGAGATAAAACAGTCAACAAAATCAGACACAAAGATGGACCAGAAGATATACTGTATCTATAATTAATATGTTTATGGATCTGGTGGGAAATTTCAGCAAAAAGATGGAAACTACTTTTAAAAAGGCAAATGAAGGGCAACCTTCTTGAGTTCCCTCCCTCTTTGGGAGCTTTGTACTATCACTTTACTACTGCTCAACAAACCTTGCTTTGCTGCCAAAAAAAAAAAGGAGGGCGGGCAAATGAAAATGCGAGAAATGATAAATATGCAGAAGTCCTTTATCAGATTTATCGACAGAATGAACACAACAGAGGGAAGACTAAACCTATAAAAGATTGAAAGAAATGATCCAAACTGAAACAAAGAGAGAAAAGAGTAGAAACTAGGGAAGAGCAACTAAGAGGTGAGACAATAGCAAATGGACTAACATATTTTTACTTGGAGTCCCAGAAGCGGGAAGTGAGCCACAGAAATATTTGAAGAGATAATGAACAAAACTTTTCTAAATTTAATAAATGACAACAAATCACAGATCCAAGAACCTCTGAAAAACCAAAACAGAATAAAAATAAAGAAAAACACACCTAGGTGCACCACAGTCAACTGCTTAAAAGTAGTGATATAAAGAGAAAAGTCATGGAAGTCAGACAGGAAAAAGAGAAAAAAAAAAGAAAGAAAAGAAACATTACAGAGGAATAAAGATAAGAATGGCAGCAGACTTCTTATCAGACATTATATAAGCCAGAACACAAGAGAGAAGCATCTTTAAAATCCTTCAAGAAAAAAAAAACCTTCTTAACCTCCACAAAAAGATTCTTATAAATTCATTGCCAGATTTGAACTATAAGAAATGTTAAATAAACTTATCCAAAAAAAAAAAGGAATTGATCCTGATAAGCATCATGATTAGTCAACTTTATCTGTGAAAAGCCATATAATAAGTGGCGTAATAGTATAATGGTGATAAATTAAAGATATATACTCAAAAGTATAATAGCAACCTTCACCACCACCAGCAGCCCCCAAAAAGAGAATAGCTGATAAGCCAATAGTAGAGATAAAACTGAATCATAAAAAAATACTCAATCCTTAAAAAGACAGAAGTGGGAGAAAAGAATAGAGCAAATAGAAAATAGCATGATGATAGATTTATAGCCAACCATATCAATTAATGTAAATGGTCTACATTCCAATTATAAGACTGAGACTGTCATACTGAGTAAATAAGTAACACATATTGATACAGTGACAGAACACTACAGAAACTAAGAATAGAAAATTAGAATATTAGAAAACTAATTTATGTCCTATAGTAGACTGAAATTATTAGATTTATATCAATATTTAAGAAATTTAAAAACATCTCAATGAAAGCAAATGATGAATATAATTAAGCTAAAACTGAAGTAATTATGAGTTGACTACTTTTTGTCTTCCTTTAGTTTCCCCATATTTTAAGGTCTTGATGTTAATTCTCCCCCACCTCCCCAAATACAGCAATGTTCATAAACACTGACCTTGCCATGGCTTCTTTCCACTTTCTGAAAACATTTATTCAGGGACAGATTATGTCGAACAGAATTCTTCCAGCCTGTTGGTGCAGTAGCAAAATATGGGAAGCGGTCCAAAATCCAGCTATAAATTTCTTTGACAGGCAAACATTTATTTGGAGAGTGTTCAATAGCCATGTAAATGAGAAGACTAAAGGAATATGGGGGCTTTGCAGTTGCTGATTTTTTTTCTGGGTTCTGATAGCAAGATGGTCCTAAGGATGGCACATCATCTCCCTCTATGTCATACAATGGACTAACAATTGGAAGACCCTCACTTCCAAGGCTGAAGTGTGTTAGAAGATTAGTACTTTCATGAAGCCAGTTCAAGTTTGTGAGTTCATCATCTGCTGACTCACTGTCCACTAGAGTGGCCTTTGGCCTGGCAGCATCAACAGCTTCAGGCAAGCTTCCCATTTTGTAAATCTGGCTTAATCCTGCAACCTTTTCAGCTCCTGGAGTTTCAGCTCTCTTTTCTGGAGTCATTCCAATTACTGGACCCATTTACACTTACAGTTCTGCAATAAAGAAAACAACTGTCAATCAATATAATACTTAAGATTCGTAAGCTCATGGAAAAAGAAAATACATATTTAAATATCACCAAATCAGAAATTTTGCAATTATCCCACATAATATTTAAGCACAATATTTGTACAACAAAGACATTAAAGGTTACAAAACAAGGAAGAGAATTTATTTCATATTACTCGAAATGGCTGTAAATAAAATACAGAATTATAACACCATATGTATGAGTGATTTAATAAAAGTAAATAAATATATTTTGAATACTTAATAAAGTCCTGAGCCTACAGTTACAGCCTAATAAGTAATGGTTATTATTAAAAGTGAGCAGACTTTCGGGATTTGAAACATGGCGGACGACGTGGACCAGCAACAAACTACCAACACTGTAGAAGAGCCCCTGGATCTCATCAGGCTCAGCCTGGATGAGCGAATTTATGTGAAAATGAGAAATGACAGAGAGCTTCGAGGCAGATTACATGCTTATGATCAGCATTTAAATATGATATTGGGAGATGTGGAAGAAACTGTGACTACTATAGAAATAGATGAGGAAACATACGAAGAGATATATAAATCAACAAAACGGAATATTCCAATGCTTTTTGTCCGGGGAGATGGTGTTGTACTAGTTGCCCCTCCTTTAAGAGTTGGCTGAAACAAAGAATTTATCATGTATGGAATATAGGAGCTTTTGTATGATTGCCTCTTTAAATGTAGAAGACATTCAAAAGAGAAACCTGCATAAATTTTGATATTAAGAAATGACCAAGGATTCTTCCACTCCTGAAACGAGTTGATTTGCGGATAACTAAAAAATTCTTAAGCTAAAGGGCATTTTAATTTTTTTCCAACCCTTTCAATAAATGTGATCACCAAGATGCAGGAAAAAAAAATAAAAAGTGAGCAGACTTTCTTTGAATTATAAGACTTTATAATCCATGCATTTTAAGGACCTATGACCTTTCTTATAGAAAATAACCAAATTTAAATTTAATAAATTTAAATTCAAATAAATATTTATTTAATAATTAAATTTAAATTCAACATTAAGCCAAATTTAAAATATTGCTTAAACAATAACTCTAAACAAACCCTTTCCTCAAATCTGAAATATTTACTATAGAGATAAATAATCTCTAACATTTTTATAGATTATACTAAATAACATTTCTTATTCACTAAATTCATTATCAGCAAAATTATTATTTACTGTAAATTTATTCTTATTACATGCAATATTTTAACTGAATTCTATATCATCTCATCAAGTACTGACACTGAAAGGCTGGCATTCTCTAAGTAAAATTTGAATTATCACTGTATTTTCAAGGAGAGTGGGAAAAAAAGCTATTTCTAAACTATCCATTTTTATTTCTATTTTCTCAAATGTCTTTTGTTTTACTTTTGAAACATACTTCAATGCAAAAAACTTATCATGGGAAAATAACTGACCAAAGAGAAAAGTGATATAAGTAATGTACTATATTAAATTCATTTGTAGTGGTTCATAAAAGTACCTCATTCATGAATTCAGTGAAAAACTTTGTCTTCCATTATCCTATTCAATCTACTTATGCTTATATAACTGAAATAAGAGAAGTACCCCTACAGTTTTATTTTACTTAGAACAAAGTTGGCAGTTTACTCCAAGAACTATGAAAACCAGTCAATATTACATGTAGAACAGTCTATCTGGATTCTGGTAGCTATTAACAGATGTAGTCTCAAAGCACTTAATTATCAACAGCATCAGCTAATATTTTTGGGACCAGGCATTGTGCTAAACACCACAAACTATATCTCAATTAACTATCAATTAAACCCTATAAAGTAAGCACTATTATTAACCCAATTTTACAAATGAGGAAAATGACTCAGAGGTTAAGCATCCTGTTTTAGTTTACCTGGTTAGTAATGGGAAACAACAGAATTTAAACCTGGGCATACTGACTTCAGAACTACAACTCTAACTACGACATTATTCTGGTAAGATAAGAAGGCAAACTCATCACCAGTGAATACCAATGACCCAAATCCCATCTATTTTAAATCTTACTACCGTTCTCTCCATATCCAGTTACTATCTTTCTTACTTAGATCTGTATCTATAACTTGACATACCAAGACATTTTAAAAGGAAAAGATCAAACTGAAAAAATTTGGTTTATATTTCAATCAATTATGAAAACCACATATTCATAAACATATGCACATGTGTGCATGCATATGTGCACGTAATATATTTCAGAGATGACACCCTGTCCTATGTGGCTGACCATATTCACTTTACCACCAAAGTCTCTTTACCCATAGAGAATTTCAAAAATGCGATCAATGAGAATTCACTGGTGGAAGAATATCTTGCTTCCTTTAAAAAAAAAAACACTCTTAGCAGTCAGTGTTCAAAGACAGGAATGACTCATTTCCAATGTTCTGCTTCTGCCTCTCACCTATTATCTCCATTTATCTTCAATCATATAGAAATCAGAGAGTACCAAATATCAGTAGCTGACACTTACTGAAATTTTACTATATTATAGATACTATGCTATGGGCTTGAAAATCTCTACTTACTCCGCACTGCTACTTAGTTCTGTGTATGTTCCTTTCTTCACAGCCATGAATTCCATAATGTGTAAGTTTTTTACTTTTGTATTCCTAATGAATCTTAACAAAATGTTGGGCATGAGTTGGCATTCAAATTATAATAATTTCAAACTGAAATGAACTTACAATCAACATATATGTTTACTCTGTACCAAGTGCCGTGTCACCTGCCTTTAAGAATTATTTTATTTTAAGGGCGCCTCGGTGACTCAGCCGAACGTCTGCCTTCGGCTCAGGTCATGATCCCAGGGTCCTGGGATTGAGCCCCGCATCAGGCTCCCTGCTTGGTGGGGAGCCGGCTTCTCCCTCTCCCACTCCCCCTGCTTGTGTTCCCTCTCTCGCTGTGTCTCTCTGTCAAATAAATAAAATCTTAAAAAAAAAAAAGAATTATTTTATTTTAAAAGAAAATCCATGCTAGAAAACATTCTAACTGGTAACAATCAGAAAACTGAAATTCATTGTTATTAATAAGGAAATGGAAGCAAAGTAAGCCATTTGCCTAAAGTTCTAAAATTAATAGAGCCAAAATTATAAACCGGACTGAGTTCAATATTCAATTCTTTGTCCATTAGAGTATACTCAATCTCTTAAGTAACTTATATTTTTAGCAATACTAATTAAGACACATTGTTGACAGATATGAGAATAACATATAGTCTCAAAAACTAATTCAGATGGTTACAAATATATGTTATTCCTCTGAATTAGAAGTTTAGAATAAAATCCCATTACTTTAATATGTAAAGCAATATTACGGCAGCATATATGCCAAAGATTACACAAAATGTAAAGCCAAGCAAAGTTAAAAAATCAAGTACTGACACTGAAAGGCTGACATTCTCTCAGGAAGCTTTGAACTGTGACTGTATTTTCAAGGAGAGGAAAAGAGCTGTTTCTAAACTATTCTTTTAGTATACTTTAGGATACCATCCACTTAGAATACTAAGTCCACCACAATAAACAGGCAAATGTATCTTTTCTCACAAATGAAGTAAGTATATAAATAGCAAACATATATTAGAAAATATCCAACTTCACTGATAATCAAAGAAACACAAAGCAAAACACAAATGTGATATTAAATATGACAATGTATTTGGCACAGTGCCTGGTATGCAGTAAGCATAAATATTAGTAATAAAAAAATCTACTTTTGCCCAAGTTAACAATGCTTTAAAAAATATTATATTTAATACCTGATTTTGGGCAAGGAGCTAGTGCCATTTTGGAATGCTAACTGGCAATATGCACCAAGAATCATTAAAAATGTCATATTCTTTGACCCAATAATTCATAGATCAATGGAACAGAATTGAGAACCCAGAAATAAACCCACACGTATATGGTCAATTAATCTACAACAAAGGAGACAAGAACATACAAATGGGGAAAGAGAGCTTCTTCGAAAAATGGTGCCGGGAAAACTGGACAGCTACATTCATTAAGAATGAAACTGTACCACCTTTTTTTTTTTTAAGATTTTATTTATTTATTTGACAGAGAGATAGTGAGAGCAGGAACACAAGCAGGGGGAGTGGGAGAGGGAGAAGCAGGCTTCCCAGAGAGCAGGGAGCCTGATGCGGGGCTCTCGATCCCAGGACCCTGGGATCATGACCCGAGCCAAAGGCAGATGCTTAATGACTGAACTACCCAGGCGCCCCAAAACTGAACCACTTTCTTAAACCATTCACAAAAATAAACTAAAATAGATTAAAGACCTAAATGTAAGACCTAAAACCAGAAAACTCCTAAAAGAAAAGTCAGTAATCTCTCAGACATCAACTATAGCAATATTTTTCTGGATCTGTCTTCTTAGGCAAGGGAAACAAAAGCAAAAATAAACAATGGGACTATATCAAACTAAAAAGTTTCTGCAGAAAAAAGGAAACCATAAACAAGATAAAAAGTTTTCTCCACTGAATGGGAGAAAATTTTTGCAAATGATATATACATTAAGGGGTTAAATATCCAAAATATATAAAGAACTCATACAACAACACCACCCCCCCCCAAATAATCCAATTAAAAATGGGCAGAGGACCTGAATAGACATTTTTCCAAAGACATACAGATGGACAACAGACCCATAAAAAGATGCCCAACATCACAAACCATGAGGGAAATGCAAATCAGAACCAGAATGAGATATCACCTTATACCAGCCAGAATGGCTAGTATCAGAAAGATAAGAAACAGCCAAGTATTGGTGAGGACATGGAGAAAAGAGAACTCTCATGAACTACTGGTGAGATATGAATTGGTACAGCCACTGTGGAAAACAGTACAGAGGTTCCTTGAAAAATTAAAAATAGAAGTACCATAGGATCTTATAATTCAACTTCTGAGTATTTACCCAAAGAAAACAAAAACACTAATACAGAAAGATAATAGCATCCCTATATTTACTGCAGCATTACTTATAATAGCCAAGGTATAGACATAACTTAAGTGTCCACTGTTAGATGAATGGATAAATAAGATATGGTATATACAAGCAATGGAATATTACTCAGCCATAAAAAGGAATGAAATCTTGCCACTTATGACAACATGGATGGACCTAGAGGATATTATGCTAAGTGAAATAAGTCAGACACAGAAAGACAAAAACCATATGATTTCACTTACATATGGAATCTAAAAAACAAAACAAAACAAACAATATCAATAAAGAGAGAAACAGACTCATAAATATGGAGAACTGGTGGTTACTAAAAGGAAGAGTATGGAGGGATGGGTGAAATGGGTGAAAGGGATTAAGAAATACAAACTTCCAGTTATAAAATAAGCAAGTCATGGGGATGAAAAGTATAGAACAGGGAATATAGTCAGTAATATTATAATATACTGGGGTGCCTGGGTGGCTCAGTCAGTTAAGCATCTGTTGATTTCGGCTCAGGTCATGATTTTGGAGGGTCTGCACTCAGTGGGGAGTCCACTTCAGGATTCTCTCCCCTCTAAAATAAATAAATAAATCTTAAAAAAATAATATTGTAATGTACTTATTGTAATGAGGATTTTTAAAGTATGTAATTGTTGAATCACTATGTCACTTCAGTGAAATAATCCTACATAGGAAAAACAGATTCTCTTTCTTCCTCGTCTTTTATACACACACACACACACACACACACACACACACACACACACACTCATCCAAGAATTATTAAAGACAATAGAAAAGTATAAACAACTTCTACATTTTATTATAGAGAAACAGCTAAACTGAAGTGCATCTATTCAATCTTTTAGTCATTAAAAATGACTCTCTTGA